AGCGCTCTGCGCCCCACCTAAGGGCCAGGTCCGAGAGGGCAGGGCTGGTGACCAGTCTCAGGGGTGACCTAAATGTGACGCTAACTGGGAGATTTGAGTAATCCCCTCTGTTCCTGCTTTGCCCCCTCCCCTCCCCTCCCCCCACGCCACCCGCTGAGCACTGCGAGGGGGGTGGTGATGCCTGCCGCCCACACAGGCTGAGAGATCACAGGGACTGGACACTGTCACAGGGCCTCCTCCCCTGCATCACCACTGCCCTTGTCCCCCGTGGAGCCTAGCTCACTAGGGCCATCAAAGCCATCTTCAGCACGGCCTCCCACTTGGTCTCCCCATTGCCTGTATTGAGGCATGCCTCTTCTTGCTCCCTAAACTTCAGAGGCTCCTGGCTGCCACCTGAATAAAGTCCCATTTCAGGGAGACCTTCAGGGTCCTCCATAAGCAGCCCCCACCAGCCCTTCCAGTGTGCCCTCCCTGTGCACCCCCACCATGGTCTCCGGCCCCTCTCTCTACCCTCTTTGCTTCCCCCCTTGCCTCTGCCTGGGCAGTTTTCTCCACCAGAACACTTTTCTCCATATCCCTCCCCAAAACCTAACAAATTCCTACCCATCTCTCAAGGCCCAAATACCACCTCCTCCAGAAAGCCTTCCTGGACTTGGGTCTTCCTGCATGAAGTGATTGCCCCCTCCCTGCTCGCCCCTACTCCAGGCCTCTTCCCTGGGCCTCTCTGACGGTGCTTGGCCCTTCTCCTTTGAAGGCGTGTGGACATGTCCTAATGTTCCCACCAGGCTGCGGGGGCTGGCCAGCTCTGATTCAGCTTCCATTTCCCCATGGTGCTTTGTTCCAAGTAAACACTGGCTCTGTTGTCACTGAGTCCAAGCTCGTTAGGGGCCTTCCTGGGTCAGGGGCCAGATGTCTCTAAGGGGATAGGGAATTAATGTCCAAAGTCCTTGGTGAGGGATTCATGGTTGGGGGGCGTCCAGACGGGGAACTCACCACTGGCCGTGTGGTTTGGGGAATCCACCTCTCCTGCTCCCCGTCCCAGCGAGGGTGTGCTTGCATTCATGCACAACCTCCAAAGCCAAGTGGGTGCAGTGGTCCCCTAGGGATCGAGTGACTCCTAGGGGGTTGCTGCAAGGAATGTTTGGCTTCTCGTCCACCTTCCAGGAGGAGGCAGTGCCTGGCAGGTTGCCAGGAGGACTTCTTGGCCAGGAGACCAGTGTCTGTGTCTTCTTTCCAGTATTGTTTTTGGAAATTGAAGCTCACAAGCCCCACACTCATTCTCGGGTGGTGTGCAGGGGAGGGGGACGGTGATCACTTCTGGAGTTGACCCCAAGTCTGAGCCACCAACCTGTGGGCCAGGAAGGTGGAGGTAGGCCAGGCGGCTGACAATTAACGGTGCAGAGCACTCATTATCCTAATGAGCGGGTTGGAGGGGCTCCACTAATGCTCACCTTCCCGGAGGCTTAGCAGAGACAAAAACGGCATTTGAGAGTGATTATCCTCCCAAAGCGTAGGTTTCTGGGGGGCACTGGCCAGGGGAGGAGAGGAAAACACCTCAAAGAGGTGGGGGTGGGTTGTGGGGCGGGGAGCTTGCGCTAATGAGCTTTGGCTGTCGGGGGCGGCAGATGCAGCAGAGCCACCAAGACACAGGCGGGAGAGGCTGAGCTGTGGCCAGGGGAAGGGTCTGTGCCCTCTGGGGCTCCTTGTCCACAGGCTTACCTGTCCCCTCATCTGTCTGCAGCCTACCCTCACTGTCTGCCCTGAGGTTGCACCCCCAGTAGCCCCACTTTCTAGCTCTGCTCTTGTTGGCCCCTTAAAGGAGGCTGCACTGCAAGCTGTTTCTGGGCTCCTCTGTCTCGGATCCAGATGTTCCAGGGGTCTGTGGTTAGGACTTCTCAGTCCAAAAGAAGGTGGGGATTCAGGGCGGCCAGTGGGAAGGGGATCTGGGTACCCTGAAGAGAGGGCCTGTAAGTGATCTAGGGGCTCAGATTAAAGTGGGGGTGGGGGCAGGTACAGCCTGGGACATCCGTGAAGCTGTAAAAGCAGAGAATGAGTGTGGGCAGAGGCCGGGGAAGAGAGGCCGGCAGAGATCATGTTCTTCCTCAAATCACAGCTCCTCTGAGCAGCCACATCATCTGGCTCCCAGCTGAAGCCAGACTTGGCTCCGGCTGTGTGCGCGCATGCATGTGTGGGCGTGTGCATGTGTGCACATACGTGTGCACGTGTGTGTGTGCATCCCACCCCAGCCTCCTGTGTTGATGTGGCAGCTCCCGCCCACGCACCCCTACCACACCACCACCAGTTGGCTTCCTTTTCTCCAGGCCAGGCTTTAGGGGGCTGGCTCCAGGATCCCCTCACCCCAGTGGCCCTGTTAGCACCTCCTCTCTCCCTTGTTAGCGCCTCACAGCCCCTCTTCCTCCTCCCGCCCAGCTGCCCCCCCAGAGAGAGGCCCTGTGGCTTGCAGCCCAGTTCTCGCCTTCTGATTCCACTGCGGCTTCTATTTTTCCAAGCTCGGTTCTTCTCCCAACCCCTAAGCCCCCTACCCTGTCCACTTCTCCCTTGTGCTCCCCAAGACATCCTCTGCAGAACAGTGGAGCCTGGGAAATGAAGCTGGGTCCCCCCACAATTCAGCACGCACTCCCCTTCCAGCCACGGCTGGAAGGCTGGGGCACAAAGTGAGCCCCACTCAGCCTCCCCTGCCTGGAGGGGGGCACAGGGCTATGGGAGGAGGCAAGTTTGGGAGGGAGCCCTGTATTGGGGTCTGAAGCTAAAAACTGGTGCCAACTCTGTTGCCTTCCTGGGGGCAAATGCCACCCCCCCTGGCCCCCTCCCCCCCTCCCCCCTTGGCAGCACTGAAGGGGTGGAGTGAGGGGGATGGGGCTAGGGTGGAAATGTCCTCTTCTGCCCGCTCCCTCTAGGACTGCTGTGTCCAACCTGAGCCTGGGCTGCCGAGTGGGACAGGGTGGTCCTGTGCCCGGAGCCAGGTTGTCAGGCCTCCAGGACTACAGGTTTCCTCTACCGAAGGGCCCCTTCCCTGCGGGCTTTGATGTGTCTGCGAGGTTAGAAGAGGATGTTTGGCTTCAGGGCCGGGCGCCAGGATAAACTCCCTCTGCCTGCTGGGCCAAACCGCTGCCTCCTCACCGCCTGGCTCTCCTGCCTCCCCCGTCCCTGCGCCTGGCCTCCCTCCTCCAAGACCAGCGCTGCCCTGCCCGCTTACTGTGGTGGGCATCGAGTGGCCACTGTTCCTGCTACTGGGGACAGGCCCTGTGGGCAATGGCTGTCCCAGCCCCCCGAGGCTGGCATGAGAGCTCCTGCCTGCTAGGTGACCAGGGTCCTGCTCCAGGTGGGGCTGGTGGGGCTGGACCCATACTGCTAGGAGGGGTGGGAGTGAGGTGGAGCAGGGGGAAGGGGTGTCCACGTGGAACTGCCTGCGCAGGCTTCAGCTCTTCCAGATGTGCAGAGGTTCCAGATACGGGATGACTCAGCCTGGAACGAGGAGGGGTGGGCGGTCCATGGGGGGACGGCAGGCAAGGGGATGTGAGGCCCTGAGCCCTGCAGGCTGCGGCTCCTGTCCTCTGGAGCCCCCAGCCCCAAAAGCCCCAGGGGCGGGGGAAGTTGCAGCTGCAGGGAGCTGCCCAGAGGTGTGGCCCTGGAGTGTCCACCAAGTGTGCCGAGAAAGAGGCCGGGGCAAGGGACCTAGCTAGGAGAGAGATGGGGGGGGGCAGGAGAGGAGGAGGGAGGGAGGATGAAGAGGGGCAGGGGCAGGGACTGGAATGTTGGGCCCCGGGGCCCACTTTGGAGCGTGGCAATGGGGGAAGGTGTCCCTGCGCAGAGGGCTGTGTGTGTGAGTGTGGCCTCATTGCTGGCGTGGAGGTTAGTTGGGGAAGGGGTGCTTTGGGTCTGCCAGGTGTTGGCCGAGTTTGAGGGCTGGGTGCTGGAAGGTGACATGTGTGTTGAGGTGCAGGGGTGTGGAGCGCGTCCGTGCAGTCTACGTGGTAGAGAAGGACCCAGAGACAGGATCTGTGGGGTGACCGTCTCTGCCGGGGCGGGGCTGAGACGGTGTGTGCTTAAGCCAAGTCACGTGTGCAGGTGGGTGCTGACGGCTGGCCCCTCAGATCTGGGGAGTCGAGAGGCTGCCAGGCACGCCAGACCAAGGCCTCAAAGAGCAGGGGCTTCTTCCAGCCTCCCCCTGTCCCGGGGAGCAGCACCCAGCATCCTGGAGCTGCAGCTTCTCCCCCTGGGCCCAGCCATGCGGTCTCTCTTGCAGGGCAGCCGAGAGACCCCTGAGCGCGGGGGCTGGCCCCTGCAAGCTGCAGTGTGAGCTGTGCAGCTGAGTGGGGTGTCTTTGCACCCACCTCTCCCTGCCCTGCTGGCCTGGCCTCCTTTTCCGCCCGCAGCGGGGTCTGCTGGCAGGGCCACCAGCCGCTCCCTGGAGAGACCCACCTGTGCCAGCCGCCCTGGCCAGGGTAAACAGGGCGCTAAGTGTCTGGGCCGGTGCCTGCCTTGGGCTGGGCACTGCTGCTCCGCACGGAGCTCAGCTCCTGGCTGTGGCTCGGGTTGCTTCCTCCAGCTAAATGACAGGCCTGGTGCCCCGGCTCCATGGGGGTCATGGGGCTGTTAAGCAGATGGATAGTCAAGTTTGATCCGGAAGACAGGTCGCCTCCTCTAAAGAGGAGGTGGCTGTTGTGACTGTCTCCCTGGTGCTGCGAGGTTCACGCCTCTCTCAGGCAGCACTGGTTGAATCCTCTGTTACCCCCAACACACGCACACACACTCACACATGCTGACACTCACACTCACTCGCACCCCAGCCCTCTCTAGGTTCTTGGCACAGTCCTCGGCAGGACTTCCCTTGTGAGTACAAACACCTCCCACCAGCAGAGGCTGGGACCTGCGCAGCTCGGCCTGTGCCATGTTCACTCGTGTCACAATCCAGGGTAGGGCTCAGAGATGTTGAGCCCCATTCTCTAAGTCACCTGCATAATGACATGGATGTGTGCATGGTCCTCCAGACACTGATGCCACCACCCAGCTTCACCCAGTCCCTCCTCCCAGGACATAGGCTTGGAAGTGGCTCCTCACACTCTCTCAGCCTTCCCTCTCTTTCCCTCCCCTTTCCTCTCTGCTCCCCTCCCCTGCTCTGGGGCTGACTCTGAGTGAGAGGTCCTCCCTCCTCCCTCAACTCACCCTGGCCCCCACTTCCCAGGGTGGCCCCCCAGGGTGGAGGGGGACTCGGGAGGAGAGGGGCAAGAAGAGTCTGGACCCCGAGGCAGGTCTGCTGGGGCTGGCTCCAGGGGAGAGCACAGAGCTGGCCAGGCTGCCTGGGATAGAGGGACAGAAGGAGGCCGAGCAAGGGGCCACGGGGAGCAGGAGGAGAGTCTCCCTCAGGGGCAGCGGCAGGCCCGAGGCCCCTCCCACTCACAGAGGCGGCTGAGAGCAGGGCAGCACGGCGGGGCCAGTGGGCAGCAGGCAGACACCCAGGCCCCCGAGCGAGTAGAGGGGTGCTGCCAGGCCCAGGGTCCTCTGTCATTGCCCATCTCCGCCTTTCTCTCTGTCTCTTGCCCGCTTTCTGTGGTTCCCCGTGTGTGCATGTGTCTGTCTCCCACTCGCTTCCCTCTTCCCTTCTCCCGTGCCTTCTCTCGCCCGGCTCTTCCACTCAAGGGCCCAGTATCTGGGGCCAGGTTCCCAGAGTGGAAGGCGGCTTCGTCCTGGGAGGCCTTTGACCCAAGCCCACAGTCTCCACATAGCCATGTCCAGCTCCCCCTTTCCTCGCCCAGGCCTTCCCTGTGCCGGGGTCCTTGGAGCCAGAGCCCATCCTGCCCTTGCCAGGTACCATGAGCCCCCCCACCCCGTCATCAGAACTGCTTCCTCGGCAACTGGGGGGCAAAGCGAGATCTCTCTCAAGTACCCGAGCAGGCAGTGCTCTGGGAGGCTGGGGTCTGGGCCCCATCCCTGGGTGACCAGATGCCCAGTGTGCTCAGGACAGTCCAGACCTGTGCCACTGCCTGGGTGTAATTGTCAACAGTGCCTCAAAGTATGCTGGCTTGGACTATAAATTATATCCTGCAGGGCCCGGTCGGAGCCCAGAGAGGCTCTCGGGCTCCCCTGCTCCCTTTCACCTCCCAGGAGAGCTGAGTAGCCTACTTGGGCCTCACCCAAGGACAACAGGGCTAGACGGCAAAGAGGGGAGCAAAAACTGTATAAATAGCCCCTTTTGGGGGGAGGCCCCTCAGCATTGGGTGGGGCGGGTCTGCTTGCTGGAGAGGGAGGAAGAAGAATTGTGGTTGCCCCCAAGCAGCATGTAATTTAGGATTTATTTTGAGGCACTCTCTCCAGCTCCGGGTGGGGCTGAGGTTAATTTAAGGTTTAATGGGGCAGAGGGATGGATGCGGAGGAGAGGGAAGCCCTCCCGCTTGGGCCTGGCTGGGAAGGGGTCCTTCCCAAGACCCCTGCCCACCTCTGTCCCTGGATCTGTTCCTGGGAGGTTTCTGAGACACCTCAGCCCTTGCTGTCAGGTGCGTTAGCCCCTCTCCGTCCCCAAGCCCCTGGATGCTCCCAGCCCGATGGCAGCAGGCTCTGCCCTAGTCTGAGGAGGAGGCACAGGCTCTGCCCTCAAGGAAACCTCAGTCTGGCAGGGAGGCAGGACACAGGCCCTCCCTTCAGAGAGTGGCCAGTCATTATGGCAGCCCCTATCATGATTTTAGTTTTTAGTCTTTATTTGTTCATGACTTTATCATTTGTGTCTTTTCGCGGAACTTAAACTTGTGACGCCGGGGACCTTATTCTGTCTCTCATAGCCTCTTCAGCACTTGCCCAGCACGGAGTCGGAGCTCAGTAAGTATTTCCTATATGAATGAATGAATGAACTAGAAATAGCGCCAGATCTGAATGCCCCGGGTTAAGAGGCAGGAGCGGACAAAGTCTAGAGTCCTCCGGTGTTCCAGCCGCCTGCTGTGACCCTTCACCTTGCCACCTCCCACCCCTCTGGCCACACGCTTCAGCCACCAGCAGCCGAGAGCTGCTGGCTCCACCAGAGGTTGGACCCCTCTGGTCCCCTCTCCCACCTCGTTCCCTCCTGCAACTGCCTTTGTTCCCAGTGCCACGTGATCAAATCCTGCTAGTCCTTCAAGGTCCCACACAGAATCACCTCCTCCATGACGCCCACTCAGATCCGTCTGCCAGATCTCAACATCCATAGCTCATTCTCTGGGCCGCTCCTCTCACTCTGCGTGGGGCTGTCAGGCTCATTGCTTCTTTTTCCTTTAGGCCACAAGGCCCTGGGGGCCAGGCTGGCCTGAAGCTGCCCTGGACCCTGGCGCCTCATGGGGGCTCAGTTGGAAGTGCCCAGGGGTGGTGGTGTGTGTCCCTCTCTGCCCCAGCCTCTAGAGCCCTGGAGGAGCCTGTGGTGAGAGGTGGACGTGGTTGTTCTCAGGGGCCATGGAGGCAACCAGGACCCCAGGGCGTAGGGGTGGCATGAAGTTTCCCTTAGAAAGCTGTTGAGCCATCTGGTATGAGAGAAGAGGGTACAGAGAGAAAGTAATATGGGGAGGGCATGGGGAAGAGTGAGGGGCATGAGGGTGGGGAAGGGCTGGGGGACAGAGACAGGGGCCTGGGGGACAGAGATGGGGGTGAGGACAAAGACATGAGGCTGGGGGACAGAGACATGGAGGCTGGGGGATGGAGACAGGAGGCTGGGGGACAGAGATGTGGGGGCGGGGTATAGAGATGGGGCTGGGGTATAGAGATGGGGGCTGGGAACCAGAAGATGTAGGGGCATGGGGACTGATGGGGGTTGGGGGACAGCAAGTGGCAATGGCCTCTTGGACCCTGGACCAAGTGTCCCTTCCTGGGCCTCAGCCTGCCCCATCTCTAGCCCCTGACACTGTTGGCCATTGCTCCGGTAGGACCTCCTGTCCTGGGGGCTTTGGCGGCTCTGGCTGCTCCTTCTCTAGCTCCTTTGCGGGCTATGCCTTCTCCATTGTCCTGTGGGTTTGGGCCTGTCCTCTTCTCTCTGCACTTTCTCCAGGGCACCTCTGCATGTCGGGCCACCTGGTACGCGTCTCCACTTGGATGCTCTACAGGTTTACCAACCCCCCGTGTTCAACAGTAAACTAGAAACCCGGAGCCAGCCTTAGTGGATCCCTGGCCCACAGCCCTCTGCCAGTCAGTCGCCAGGTCCCATGGCTTCTGCCCCTTACATCTCTATCAATCCGGCCACCTTTTTCCACCCCCAGCCTGGGCCTGGCCACCGCCACCTCTCACCTGGACCTCTGCGGGAGCCTCCTGAGAGGTCACCCCACCTCCATTCTGATCACCTGCCAGCCCATCCTCCACACCTTGCCCAGAAATGCACCCTGACCCTCATACAGCTCCTACAGCGCCCGCGCCCCGCGCCCCCCACACTCCTATAGCCTCTGCGCCAGGCTCTCTCCCCACTGCGCCTTGGCAGGTGCTGTAGCCTCAGCCCTCAGCAATCTTTCTTAGGGCTCCTCCTGGCATCCCTTACTCTGGGAAGCCTCTCCTGTGTTCTTCCCACTGGAGCCTGGGGCAGGATTCCCCTTGCAAGAGCTGCCGTCGCCTTCATCCCCCCACCGCAGCACGCAGGGCGCTGAATAGCACTTCGCTGTCTCCAACGAGCAGAGAGGCCATGCCTGGCCACAGCAAGGCCTGCGGCGCACCAGGTGCCCAGGAATCACTTGTTGATGGAATCCTTTGTTTGATTCAGGGGAGACTCGTAGGACAAGAGGGAAGAAAAGAGAGGGCTTCCCCACAGCCTGGGCCTCCAAGGCATTGGGGCAGGGGAGGTCCCGGGGCCAGGGGATAGAGCAGAAAGCCTCGGTTGGGTGGTTGAAGGTGTGGTGCTGGCCCTGGGGTCAGAGTCAAGGCTGCCCTGCACCTGCGCTGGCTGCAGAATGGCTGTCCTTTCCCAGGTGTGTGTCTGGTAGAAGTTTCCCTTCCCAGGAGACAAGGAGAATCATCAGAGAAGGCCTCCGCACCCCAGGGTGGGCCAAGGCCTCCTGCCAGCGCCCACCAGCGTCTTCAGCAGCAGTCCTGGGCCTGAATGAACTGGCTGCATGTGACCGCAAACACATATGACCGCATCTCACCCGGGTTCACGGCCATGCCAGGGAGACGGATGCTGCTCCTGGAGTCTGAGCACAGCCCCAAGTGGAGATCTCTGAAGACTTTTCTACCTTAAAAATTCATAGGCATTTTGCTTCCTGCCTCATACTATCTCCTTGCATGTTTTAATATCAAAATAATGCTGCCCATCACTTACCAATGGACAAAAGCGGACACTCTGGGCCTTAGCGGTTCTTGCCCCTCTTCCTGGATTAGGAAAGAGTACGGGACCGGGGCCTGGGCCCGGGCCCAAGTTCTGCCCTGCAGACTACTGCTGAGCCGTCCATAAAATGGGGTGGTGAGCCTGCCACGCCTGGCCTTGAGACAGTGGCCACCATTAAATGGAGCAGTGGGTGTGAAGACTAATGATTCACACATGGAACTTGAGATGCCAGCTGGATGCCTGGGGCCGGGCCCTTCTCCAGGCCCCTCCTGGGACAGGAGAAGCAGGAGGGAGCATGAGGCAGACACCCCCAGCCCGGCCCCCACCCAGCTTCCAGGGAGCAGAGCAGGGTCTGGGGGTCCAGGCCGAGGCTGCCCCTGCCCCAGGCTGGAGGAAAGCGTGAGCTCACCCTCTGGCCCAGGCAGAGCGAGGGGGTAGGAGACGTAATTAAAATGCCAGAGGTTAGGAGGTGAAGTTACAGTGGAAAGAATGAAGCCCCAGCGCTGCCGCTCACCCGCTCAGGCTGCGTCTCCCACCCCGCTCCCTCTGCCAAGCCCACATTTGATTTTTATTTCGGGAGCCGCCAGCGCAGCACTTGGAGGGAGCGGAGAAACCTCACTCCTGCTCGCCCTGCCACGTCTGGAGCTGGGGCCACGCGGGGGAGGGGGCTCCTGCGACCCAGAGAAGAGCCCACAGGGCCCCCACCCCAGCACCCAGTACCCTCAGGCATTGGGTACCGGGGAAAGGTGGCACCTAGGGCAGGGGGGAGGGGCTTGGGAGGCAAGGAAGGAAGACCCTGTAAAAGACAAAGGCCAGTTCCTTGCTGTCCTCATGGGCCTTTGCCCCTTCACGCTCTGAGCCCAAAGAGAAAACACCAGCCTCTTTCCTGCTCCCTTGCTCCCCTGCTCCAGCCCCCGCACCCCCACATATTGGGGGGGCGGTGCTTCCAGTGCCCATCAGCATGTGTGCACGTGTAGAAGGGTTTGCTGTGTGGCCCTGGGGAAGTCACTACCCTTGGTCTTCTCGTCTGTGAAATGGGTAAGTTGGTAAGATAAGCAGTTTCAACCCGGGCTCTGCAGAGGTGTGCGAGGCCTGGGCCCTGCCTTCCCAGGTCACCCTCTCCTGAGCACTTCTCCTATCGGCCCCTCCAGGAGCTGGGGAGGTGGAGGCAGCTGCTGGCCCAGCCCCTGAAGAGCCTGAGCCCCCCCGCCCCTCAGCATACACTGCAGACGGGAGCCGGGGGCCAACTCACATTTTCCTGCTCTCGGGCTTTCTCCACTGCCCATAATGCAGTCCAGATGGTTTCCCCATCGGAAAGCAGAGGCAGCAGATTCCAGAGGGAAAGCGGTTGGGCTCCGCTCTGGGCTCCGCTTTCCCTCAGACTGGAGAGGGGGCCGGGGTGAGGGACTCAAGGTCTGAGAAAATGGAGTGGGGGTGGCTCCGGCTCCACAAGAGGACGGTGGGGGAGCTCTCTGGGAGCACCTCACTGCCAGTTAGGCGCTGGGGCCAGTGGGAGAGGCTGGGAGCTGTGGCGCAGAGGCAGGGGCATGGCCCAAAAGGCCCCCGAGTTCCTTCTAGCTTCTCTCCCTGCAGGAGCAGCCTCACCCAGGCACCGCTCAGGGTCTCCCAGACCCTGGGGTGGAGGGGAAGGAGGGAGACACAGCTGGGTTCAAATCCCAGCCCTGCCACGTAGAGGCTATGCAACCTTGAGTGAGACGCCTGACTTCTTGGAGCCTCAGCCTCCTCCCCTGTGAAATGGGATGGCTAGTGCCGACATGGGGGTGCTTATGAAGGCCACATGGGATAACCCACAGGAAAGGCTTCCCATGGCCAGGGAGTTCAGGAAATGCCTCGGGGTTGCCTAGGGAACCCTCCTAGTACAAAGGTCGCCTCCCCCTTAGGCAAAAGCGCTGCATGGTGAGGAAGCCTGTCCCTCCCTGGTCTGACTCAGACTCCTCCTGCTGCAGCTTCCCAGTGGTGCTTTCAAGGACCCCCAGGGGACTTTAAATCACCCTTCAGAGACTGTTCTGGGGACAAGCCCAGAGGGTGGGGGCTATGGGCCCGAGGCTGACCCCAAGCCTAGTCCTATCTCCTCCCTGGCCCAGCCCCTCCACCACAGACAGCAGGACAGCAGCACTTCCCACCCGGCCTGCAGAGCCACGTAGGAGCAATGGGGCTGCGGGAGCCGAGCAGGGGGCAGTCTCTCATTGGCCAGGCCCCGCCTGCCCTTCCACTTCCCTGCCAGGACAGCCTCCCAGCTACTCGCCCTCTCCGCCTCAGCTGTACCAAGGGGAGCGCTTAGATTTTTCCACCAGACGAGCCAAGAGCAAAATGAGAAACAAATCCAGCCCTGCCTGCCCCGTGGTGAGCGGAGGCTGGGGGAGAGCGAGCCCCCAGCCCTTCCCCACCCCTGCGCCCAGGCTCCAGGACCCTGGGGCAGAAAGCTCAGCCAGGAGGGGTAAGCCTGGGGCTCCCACCCCAGGCCTGGACCACGTCCCGAAGGAGGTCACTGCCCACTGCCCCAGTGCAGGTGGGGGCAGGGACAGAGTCCGGGAGGGTTGCAGTCACTGCTTGCTAGACAAAGAGATGGGACCCCTGCAACCCCTCCCACTTAGTATGTAAGCCCCCTTTCCCTCTCACTGAGCCCTCTCCCCCACTAGACCCCCTCCCTGGCTGGGTCCCTGTCCCCCACATATGGCATCCCTTCTCTACCCCTCCACACCTCAGGGCTGCCTCCTTTGCCTTGACCTTGTGTCCAGCCTCTCCCCAGGGAGGCAGGCAGTTTCCCACCGTGTCCCCATCCCCTGCCAAGCCAGCCTAGAGGGACTGTCCCCCAGGCTTGAGGCGCCATTCTCCTGCCCCGCCACCCACCTGCCCTGTCTCCTTGTGCCACCCCCACCTCCTGCTTCCTGAAACCCCTTCCCGTGGGCCCATGACACACTCTGGTGTCCCCCACCCCTGAGCTCCCAGGCCTCACATGACTTTCCAGGCTCTCCCCTCCCTGTCCAGGCACATGTCTTCTACGCACTGCTCTGCCTGCTGCACGGTGGCGGACAGGTGACAGGTGAGGCCCCGGAAAGAGCCACGCCCAGGGATACGGCGCACTGGAGCTGGACCCACTGCACTGTGTCAAGGTGACTTCCCTGTGCTCTGTGGACTTCTCTCTGAATGAAGACAAAGATGACACCAGCCAGGGCCTCTACGACCTGTCGCCCACAACGTCCACTATTCAACAAAACCTGCCAGGCGGCTCTCTTCCTCCTCCTCCTCCTCCTTCTCCTCTTCTCCCTCTCCTTCTCCATCTCTTCATCCTCCTACTTCTTCCTCCTCCTCTTCCTCCTTTTTCTTCTTTTCTTCCCTTCCCTTCAAACACAGTTCAGTCCAGAAGACTTTAGCTGGGGCCAAGCAAGGCAGATGTCCCAGGGGTTGGGGAGGGGAACTCAGGAGGGTGGCTCTCATGAGGGGCAGTGGAGCAGAGAGAGCAAAAGTCACAAGAGGGCGGCCTGGGGTGGGGGTCCAAGCCCAAGCAAGGTAAGGAGGGGTGGGGGAAGAGACCAGTTTCTCCTTGGTACACTGGTTGCATCCAGTGGGGCTGGCCCAGTAAGTACATATGACACCCAGTAAGTAAAAGTGAGCCTGGTTTCTCACTGTCAGCCAAGAGTGTCATAAACATGAAAAAAGAAAAACATGCGTGAACCCTGTGGTGTTCCCACCTGTGATCCTCCACATCTGGACTGGAACTGAAGGGGTTGTTGAGAACTCATGATTTTCCAAATAAATAGACAGACATAGAAATAAATATTGATGCAAATGCATGTATGTGTTTGTGCATATATGTCAATGTATGTACGTGTATGTATACACATGCATGCACTTCCTAGCTTCATCCACGGAGAGGGCTGGGAGCAGTGACGCCTTCATAGTGATGAGCATAGCTAGCACCCAAGGCTTAATCTCCCCCATTTTCCACTAGCAAAAACCAGGGCTCCTTGGAGGAATGGCTGATCACGGGGCTAGCGCAGGGAAAATAAAAGATACACTTGAATCGTCTTGTGCCAGAAAATAAAAAAGTGCTCAGAAATGATTAAACAGAGTAACCATACGACCTAGCAATTCGATTCCGAAGGATACCCAAGAGAAATGAAAACAGATGTCCACACAAAAACATGTCTAGGCATACCATGTTTTATTTCACTTCCCGTTATTGCACTTTGCAGATACTACCTTTTTTACAAATTGAAGGTTTATGGCAACCCTGCACTGAGCAAGCCTATCGGTGCCATGTCTCCAACAGCATGTGTTCAGTTTGTGCCTCTGTGTCGCATTTTGGTGATTCTTGCAATATTTCAAACTTTTTCATTATTACTGTATCTCTTATGGTGATCTGTGATCAGTGATCTTTGATATTAACTACTGTAATTATTTTGGGGTGTCACCAACCATGCCCATAGAAGACAGGGAAATTAATTAATCAATGTTGGTGTGTTCTGGCCGCTCCACCCCCATCTCTCTGCCTGTCCTGGGGCCTAACTACTCCCTCAGACACAATATTGAAATCAGGCCAGCTAATAACCCCACAATGGCCTCGAAGTGTTCGAGTGAAAGGAAGAGTCCCACCTCTCACTTTAAATCAAAACTAGGAATGATTAAGCTTAGTGAGGAAGGCATGCCAAAAGCCAAGACGAGCCTAAAGCTAGGCCTCTTGCACTAGTTAGCCAAGTCGTGAATGCAAAGGAAAGTTCTTGAAAGGAATTAAAAGTGCTACTTCAGTGGACACAGGAATGATTACAAAGTGACACAGCTTTATTGCTGATATGAAGAAAATTTCAGTGGTCTGAATAGAAGATCAAACCAGCCACAACATTCCCTTAAGCCAAAGCCTAATCCAGAGCAAGGCCCTAAGCTAAGTCTCTTCAATTCTAGGAAGGCTGAGGGAGGTGAGGAAGCTGCAGGAGAAAAGTTTGAAGCTAGCAGAGGTTGGTTCATGAGGTTTAAGGAGAGAAGCTGTTTCCA